CATGTCCATTTCTTTTGGCATTTTTAAACTTGACCTGGGGTAAACTTTTGGCACTTTCTTTAAGGAGAAAAGAGAAACACATAAACTTGAGAATTTGTGGTCGCTAAAATGTTTCTAATATGTACGCTAACACAATTAATTCAAGAGCAATTATAAAAATCTTAAGTATTTGGTAGTTAAATACAATTTGCATAATTCCAGAATGGAATAGTTTGAGCTTTCAGAAAAAAAAAAGAAAACTAAAAAGATCAGCATTTATTGTTTTACTTTTTGATTGCTTCTGAAAAATTGTATGGTGTTGCTTTGTATGAATAGGTCTCCATGAGTAAATTATGATCAAAATTCAAAGCCGTCATAAATTAAATGTGTTTTTTTCCTGCTTTCGTATACAAGACTTTCCATTAAGCTAGCCCCATATAATATACCTTGGATGTGTTCAAGAAAGCCCTGTAAATTATAGTAAGTATTTAAAATGGTAAGTAGACATTGGAAAAGGCCACATTAGGATTAATGAATGAAGGGGTTGATACTGAAAATGCACTTGTAAATAAATAACATGAAAAGTAAAGATGACACATTGTTAGGTTAGAGTTACAAGTAGGGATGACCATAAATTGTAGGGTGGCAACAGAGCATTCAGGGAACTTCAGTTTCTGGGGAGAAGCATGTCTAGTTTCTTTCTCGTGATGACTTCCCAGTTCCTTCTGGTCTGTGCTCAACCCTGAGGTTTTCCTGTACCTTCTCTTCAGATTTGGGAAGTACCTGAGATTTCTCTGCTAACCAGTCTAGTCCCTTCCCACCAGCACTCAGTGAATTACTCACCCACTAGTTGAAGACGAGTAGGAGTGGAGCTGGCTTTGTGTAGGAGATTGCGTTCTCTCAGCACCAGGAAGGAAACAGACCCGCGATGCACGCCACTCCCAACAGAAATGAGAACATAGAGCACACACAGGCAGGGTATGCTTTATTTTTTTTTTTATTTTTTTATTTTTTTATTTTTTTTTAATTTCTAGGAGAGAGAGAGAGAGAGACAGAGTGAGCAGGGGAGGGTCAGAGAGAGAGGGAGTCACAGACCGAAACAGGCTCCAGGCTCTGAGCTGGCAGTCAGCACAGAGCCCGACGCGGGGCTCGAACCCACGAACCGTGAGATCATGACCTAAGTGAAAGTCTGACGCTTAACCGACTAAGCCACCCAGGCGCCCCAGGGTATGCTTTAAATACACGTGCCTGTTTGTCTCAAGGAAGGTTTGGGGAAGTGAACAGCACTTTGAGGAGAGAGTTAAATAGGACAGTGTATACCTCGACTGTTTTTGAATGTGCTTTTTTTTTTTTTTTTTTTTTTTTTTTTTTGATTTGTGTGGCTTTGACAGAATAGAGTGGAGACACTTGGAAAAGTATCGTGGGTATATTTAAAGTTATGGCACAGCACGGACTTTAACAGTCTCCTTAGGCATATAACTATGCAGCTATCTGAACTCTGGTTTCCTAAATTATCCATACATATATATGAATATGCATGTGTTATATGATGAAAGGAGAGAGATTTCCTTCTGAGATGTTCATTTTCTCCACCATCCAAGTTTGTATAGCTCCAATTATGTGATTTGCATACCTATTAGATTTCTCATTTGCTAAAGAAGGCAACTTCAACCCAAACCAATAGAAATGCTCTTAAAGAATTTATGCCCAGGTGCTTCACTCGTGTAAGTCATAAGAATAAGTAGAAGAGTAAAGCCTGGATTCTATAGCATAGAAAGAAAAATAAATGTAAATGGAAAGTGTACAGTGTCATGAAGAGAACTGACAGGAAGCCTAATGCTCTAAGAGACTATGAAAGCTTATAGAATTTAAAATGAAGGGGCACCTGGGTGGCTCAGTAGGTTAAGTGTCTGATTTTGGCTCAGTTCAGATCTTATGGTTTGTGAGTTCGAGCCCTGCATCAGTCTCTGTGCTGAAAGCTAGCTCAGAGCCTAGAGCCTGCTTCAGATTCTGTCTGCTTCTCTCTCTGCCCCTCCCCCACTCATGCTCTGTCTCTGTCTCAAAAATAAACTGTAAAAAAATTAAAAAATAAAATAAAATGATAAGGAGTACTTGGATGGCTCAGTTGGTTAAACATCTGACTCTTGACTTCTCAGTTTGTGAGACTGAGCCTTGCACTGGGCTCTGTGCTGTCAGCACGAGGAGCCTGCTTGGGATTCTCTCTCTTCCTCTTTCTCTGTTCCTTCGTGGCTCATGCTTGCACTCTCTCTCTCTCTCTCTCTCTCTCTCTGTGTGTGTGTGTGTGTGTGTGTGTCAAAAAATATATATAAACCTTTAAAGAAATAAATTAAAATGATTATTAGGTAAATTCAATTTCTTTGTTTTTTATTTATTTATTTATTTTTTTATTTTTTTAGAGAGAGAGCGAGAGAGAGCATGAACAAGGGAGAGGGGCAGAATAAGAGAGACAGAATCTTTAGCAGGCTCATGCTCAGTGTGGAGCCTACCATGGGGCTTGATCTCATGACCCTGGGATCGTGACCTGAGCCAAAATGAAGAGTTAGACACTCAACTGACTGAACCACTCAGGGGCCTTGAGAAATTCTATTTCTGACTGTAATGGTATAGCTTATACCAGAATAACTTTTCCACAGGTAACAAAATATAAAAACTGATATTTTGAGTAAAGACAGTAAAAACAATAAAAAGCAGGCAGAAACTGGAGGAAGTATTGACTGAGATACTCCCAAATCTGCACAGGGAAACATGGATCGAACTCAGGGAGAAATTCGTACCTTAATTGGCTTAAGAAGTCATCAGGCATAGTTTGGTCTGGTAGCTGCTGGAAAGTGAAGGGAGAATTCCAGAAATCAGGAAACCACAGAAGAGGTAAGCCCCAATCTGTGTATAAACTCTTTAGTCATGGTTGACTAATGAACTGAACATGCATAGGGGAGACCACATGATTTCCAGGGAAAAGCAACAGCTGTAAGATAAGAAAGACTGAAGAGTGTCCACCATAGCCCATATTGAGGAAGACAGAGTTTGGAGTTTGAGTTCAGTCAAGTTAATTGACTAGTAGAACAAAAATCAGTGTACTTTTGAGGAATGTAACATAATCCCAAATCTCTAGATAGGGCATCCACAATGTCATACTAGACTTGCACAGAAACCATAAAATTTCACTCCAAGTCAACAGACATTAATACCAATAAGATCTAGATGGATTTTGCAATCCAGGACCTGAAAACAACATTTGTAAATATGTTTAAGGATGTAAAGGAAAATATGATTTTAATAAGTGAACAGATCAGGAATCTCAGCAGAGAAATAAAAGCAGTAAAAAGAAATGGAAATTCTAAAATGAAACGTGTAATTCCTGAAATTAAAAATAAATTGCTGAGTGGATAAAACAGTGATGAAATTAGAAATCAACCATAGATGCTACAAGTAGCTGGTGAAAGTTAGATGAGGAATAAGTGTTTCTATAGTCTCAAAATATCCCCCCAAATTACTTATTAATTACGAATGGAGAAATAGTAACTACAGTTCAAAAACCTAGTAAATTCTGTTTTATACAAGTGATCAAAGCCAACACCACTAATATTGGAACAGAGCAATATCATATAATGTGATGAGGACACAGCCATTCTGTGGAATTTCTGTTGGAAGGGTGTAACCTGAATCTAATTACAGGGAGACACCCACAAACTCAAATTCAGGGACATCTATGAAGCAACTGGCCTATACTCTTCTAAACATTAAGGTAAAGAAAGACACAGGTCCAGCAACAGCTCCTGAGGAAAAAAAAAATCCCTAACTAGACAGGAAAACAAAATGCATTATGAGATCTCGGACTAGTTTCTGGCCTAAGGATGAGATATTTAAAGAACAACATTGGGATAATTGATGCAATTCGAATACAAACTATGGTTTAGGTAATAGAATTGTTTCAAGTTAAAATTTGTGAATTTGATAACTGTGCTATAGTCATGGAAGAGAAAGTCTTACTTCTTAGGGAATATACATTTAAGCATTTAGGGGGAAATGGTACCGATGTTGCCGAATTATTCCCAAATGGTTTAGAAAAAGTGTGTAGGAGATGAAAGCAGAGAGGTAGCGAGTGTAGAGATGAGCTCATGTAGCACTTATGGGTCACAGAGACATTTGCTTTTTACTTTGGATGAAATGGAAAGACATTGGAGCTTTCTAAGCTGAGAAATGACATGATCTCATATATGTATAAAATTGGTTCACTCTGGAAATTCTTGAAAGAAAATAAGAGAGGTGCACGGTAGAAAGTGACTGCAATGACCCAGGCAGGCCAAGATATTGGTGGCTTGGTGCAGGGTGGGAAAAAAGGAAGTGGCTAGTTTCTGGGCATATTTGGCAGGAAGACCAAACAAGATTTGCTGATTTACCCCATGTGGATCGGAAGTGAAGGAGGCCCCCAGGGTGGTGACAAGGTGTTTGAACTGAGTAAGCAGATGAATATAGTTGCCATTAATGGTGATAGGGAAAATGTAAGAGAGGATATGAGGAGCTCAGTACAAGACATGTTAAGTTTGAGACAGCTATTAAATATGTAAGTGAGGATGTCAAGTGAGGATTAGAGTTTAAAGTCTGGAGTTGAGGGCAGGTGTTCAGGCTGAAAATACAAATTTGGGTGTCATTGGCACATGGCTGTTCTTTAAAAGCAGGACACAGACTGAGGAGATGCCAAGAGACTGAGTGTAAGTGGAAGGAAGACAGTCAAAGATAGAGCCCTGGGCAGACCAACCAAGGTCATGATTCACACTTAGCAGCAGTGTTCATGATACCAGCTGGGGGACAATTTGGGGAAGAGGCAGGAGACTCGATTGACTGGCTTTTACTGAGACTGGCTCCATCCTGACTGAAGGCACCCAGAAAGAATTTGCAAGGTCTCTCCTACCCCAAGGACTCCTCTCCAAACTTTGGAGTCAACAATGATTAGCTAATCTCCACTGTTGCATTTCTAAATAAAGGTCTTTCTTGGGCAGGTGGAGCCATCTGAGGCAAGAGACGACACTTGAGTTGTCAATAAGAGATCCCATCATTGTCTACAGTCCCCAACCAGGGCTCTCTGAGGGTCACAGAGGCCAACCGCAGTGGCTGGAAGTCTTCACTTGAGTCATCTGAGCTGACCAGTACAGGTTTCCCCTGAGGACTCACCAACTGTGAGGATAACTGTAGAGTTCGTGGTTTTCGCACACATCTTCTTGGAAGGCTGGATGCTGGTTCACAATTCTGCCCTGCGAATATCTATCTGCAGATGTTCACTTGTCTCCCTCGCTCTTCAAAATGAAGCAAATATATACGGATACAAGATTCAATAAGAAGTATTGAGCAAATCAAGTTAAAAAATGCCCCCTAAACCCTCCAGAGGCCCAGACACTAAACATATTTTTCCATTTAAGCAGGTTTTTGTGCTGAGTTATTAGGAGAAATGCACTAAACATTTACTTCACCTTCAGCGTCACCTTCATTCTGTCCCCATTGAACTAGGCTAGTATTTATCTCATCAGGGAACTGGGTAAAATAAGTAAGTAGGCAAGGAGGGGGAGATGAAATTCAGGGTTGAGCACCGTCGGCTTATTGATGGCATTGAGTCCCCAGTGTCCCATTATCCCTTGGAGCAGACTCGCTCACATGCTAAATAGGAGAAGTGGTTATCCTGGGGGGTAATGTATGATCCCCTGGGGCTTTCTCCACAAGAAAATTGACCTTATATGGGCATCCACTGGCTCTCAAGAGGCACTGTATCTTATTCATTTTCCCCTGGCGGAAGGCTGGGCGCAAATGAGAACCCAGCCACCCAACCCAGAATGAAAGCCCTTTGTCAGTTCTGTTCTCTGCCCCTGATACCTGGGGTTTGGCTTTTTGGGAACCTCCCCTCCAGTGATGACCTTGATCAGTTTAGGTTCAGGTTAGCTTCATTGGTTTTTGCTGATGAGGCTAATTTTTTCCATTCAAACCCAAGGCCATTTAGCTTTGGTCTATCCTACGGGCAACATCTCTACCCTGTGCGAACTTGTTAAAACTTGTGGGACCCTGGAGTACAGGGACAGAAATGGCGACAGTAGTCCTTTAACACTCTCCGTATCAGAGGTATATGCCTCACCTTGGAAGCTGAGGGCGAGTGGCATCCCTGCGTGGAGAGCAGCCCGTTGATTCTGCGGAAAGCTCTACCAGAACTCCTTGGAAATCTCTCTGCAGGGGCGTGGTGCCGATAGCGATGGGGACACCGGTACCTTTGACTGAAGCCTGACACCAGGGCTTTTTTTTAAAGGCGGTTACTCACTCTTTCCAATAGGTTATTGCTGATTTGTCTGGTGGTTAAACCTATATCCGCATCTCTTCCATTTATCCTGAAGAGTCATCCATCCAAGTGGCAAATCCTTCCACAGGTCTGTGACTTTTTAAGTAATTCAGAAAGCAGCCTTGGCAAGAGATTTAGTGGGAAATCACCATTCCCCCAAACCTTTAGGAATCTCAAGGTAGGAAGAGCCAGTGAGCAATGGACCTGATTAGGTAAAACTGGACCTCGCTCAGCTCACTATGTGCTCGGGGCTTGTCTGACCAGGGAGGAGACTGGCTGGGCAGGTCCCGCTGAATCCCAGGGGCTCCCCTCCAGTCCAGCAACCCTCCTCCTCCTTTGCTTCATGTCTGATCTCAGGGCGATTTCTGGTTTCTGGCCTCTTCTTAACCATTGCTCCAAATACCTTAACAGGGTAGTCTTTCCTCTTTCTTTGGTGTTCCAAAGTGTGGAGCAGATAGTTCCAAGGAAATTCAAGTCACCACCATAAATCTTAAGTGATTTTAGAAAGATATATAGTACTCCTAAATGATGACATATTTCCAGAAGATCAGTAAAACATTTCTGAGTGATAAATGGCGGGGCAGTTGTGTCTGTGCTGTGATCCTGAGGGGGAACATCCAGTGAGGACAGTATTTTATGACCATTACCAGTCATGTCTTTTTGTTTTTCATCAGCCAAAATTGCAACCAAAGAGGCTGGCCACACAGAAAGTTGGCCTACGTTACGCCAGTTCTGGCTGGGAAAAGCGCTGGCGTTTTTGATTTGCCACCGGCACAAAAGGTTGGTGGGGGACTTGGTGCGTGTGAGGAAGGGGAAGAAGTCCCATGTCTGAGAAATAGGTGACAGTGCCTGAGGGCGGTTCCAGCATTTAAAAGTAATTATGGGGTGTTGGGGGGCACTGGATTTATTCACAAAGCCTGTTCTGTACATTAACTAAATTTGTGACTTTAATCGCTGATAGGAAAGGAAAGAAAACAATCTGCACACACACAGAGCTGCAAAATACTCAGCACGGCGTGCCTTCTCCATCAGCCCCCAGAGCCCTTTATCCCCGAGTGCTGGCCTGGGAAGGAGGCTCCTGGACTTGCGGCCCCTGATAACCAAAGTCCGCCGGGTTCGCAACACTGTGGTGATAGGTGAGCTCGTTAAGATTACGCATCTATCTGCCCTCCAGGGCTGAGTCTAGAAAGGAGAGGAGGGAGGTTCTCCTGGTCACGCTGATGGAGATGAAAAGGGAAGAATGTTTTCTCCCCTGCACTGGGAGCTACTGGGGCGTGCCCGGCTCCCTGGAGCCTAACCCGGGACTGTGCACAGCACATCCGGCAAAGCGACTGTGAAGCATGTTATACCCACACAACCGCGCGTGGACCTTCAGAAACAGCATTCTGAAAATACGGGGTGTTGTGGCTAACATGCACGCTGTTGCAAAGGTTCTGATAAGTTGCAGAAGCCTCCATAATTATAGATCCAGTTTATAAAACCACAGCTGTATGGAGCATCTCCGTATATCTTGTGGTGAGTTATCTGCTTTTGCAATTCGGTAACCAGCTCTTCACAGCCACGGTGGCCCCAGCACAAACGAGCTGCACCCTATGAAAAAAACATGATCAAGAACAAACCCAAGAGGGAAGTTGTCGAGAGTGGATTATGGTATGCCAAAAATAGAAAAATGATCTTCTAGAAAGCCACGTAAGAAATTCTTCACAAATCGTAAAGGTCTATCAGTACGTACCCTGAGTTCAAACACCGGTGCAATTAGATTTGTTGCTTGTGACTTTGCTACTCAGCTATTGTATGCACTCTACCAGAGTCATTTGCCACAGGGAAAGGCTGAGTCATTATTACCATCTACTTTCCCAGAGTGAAATAGCACGAAAGTCATGTTCTTAGATATATCAGGTGGAACTCCTTGGGCGCTCGGTCTAAGTCTCTGAAGCAGGACCAGAGATGCACTGGATGATGTCAAGTGTGAAGTCTGGTAGGTGTAGATATGGGAGCTGTGAGGAGAATTTCTGAGGCTAGGTATTTCAAATGTCTCAGGCAACCTGGATCAATATTGTTCAATAACAAATGGCTTATTACTAATCTTTAAATTTTTTGTTAATGTTTATTTGTTTTTGAGAGACAGAGAGAGAGTGAGCAGGGGAGGGGCAGAGAGAGAGGGAGACACAGAATGTGAAGCAGGCTCCAGGCTCTGAGCTGGCAGTCAGCACAGAGCCCGACGTGGGGCTCGAACCCGTGAACCGTGAGATCATGACCTGAGCTGAAGTCGGACACTTAACCGACTGAGCCACCCAGGAGCCCCAATAAATCTTATATGTAAATTGAGAATTCTCAACCACCAAGATTTTTCTGCCATCTCCCTCACATGATGGATCTCCCACACTTACAGAGCCAGTCCTGATACATCCGTTAGTCACCCTGAGAACCAGAGACTAGCACTGAACCTTTGGTGTCTATTCCCGGTTAGTCCACACTTTCCCTAAGTTAACTGGCTCTAACTAGAGAATAATGATAATGATGACAATTGAATGAACCCGTCCCTTCTACAGGAACCAAGGGAAACCAAGTGAAGTGTGGTGGTGTCTGCTTCCTGAGGCCACGGGCTGGTTTGGGGTCTCATGAAAATTATACAGCTACTTCCTACTTCAGAGATGTGGGGAGAAGGAAGGTCACCCAGTGGGACACAGGGTTAGGGCTTTTGGTAGAAATGCATAATTGTAGAGCTAAATGTAGTTCCCAGGAAAATCACACCCCTACACACATCAAAGGTTCAGAGAAGTTTTTCTGCAATTTAGCTGCATCACACACAGGTTTTCTGAATCTCCATTCAGCTGTTTCAAATGCTGGCTTTAAAGGGTCCCCTGAGTCCTATAGCAAACCCGTGATTATAAAAATATTTAAAGCCACAGAAAGAATATATAGCTGTGTAGACACATGTGTTGATTTATTGTGTCCCATGGTTTGATACACTGGAAGGCAAGGTTTCAGGCTGACAAAAAGCATCAGAGTAGCAGGCTTCAATCCATATATTATGGTACCAGCCCCAGAAAGGGAGCAGGGTCCAAAACAAGCCTATAATATAGGGTTTCTGAAAACTCCTCTACATAAGCAGGAGACAACATAAAAAGTTACATTACTATTTATGTGACACAGAGTCATATTCGCAGTGATATGACCACATAAATAGTATTGTGAATTTTTGGAATATGGAAATTAAAGAAAAATATTTCAAACCCAAACCATATATTATGAAAAATAACAAATCTTCCCAAATGCTGTCAAAGAGAAAGAGATGAGGTGGGAGAAGGGACAAAGTTCTAGAAATATCAATGAGTTTTTCTTTATTGATGGAAACTTCATTATCTAAAGAAAGAGAAAACAAAAACAAAACAAGGGTGCCTGAGTGGCTCAGGTGGTTAAGCATCTGATTCTTAATTTCTGGTTCAGGTCATGATCTCACGGTCGTGGGATCGAGCCCTGAGTCGGGCTCCCTGCTAAGCACGGAGACTGTTTGGGATTCTCTCTCTCGCAATCTCTCTCTCTCTCTCTCTACCTCTCTCAATCAATAAAAATTAAAAAATAAAAATAACAAAACTCAAGATTTTATATACAGTAAATGTATTATGAGAGATGAGCTTCGTTTTTTTTTTAAGTCTTCCACAATTTAGTGCTAATGTTGAAATCTTACACGGTATGGGAGTCTGTCCCTTAGAGCAGGTGTTCAGCTGTGTCTGCTGTTCCCCGCAGGGAGCCTTGGTCCAGGGGACCCTCCATGGACCCCATGGCCCATTCCTCACCTTCCTTCTTGCCCCGTCTGACTTTGTTTGCTAATGTCCAGCCCCCCGGATCTTCTTCCTGTTTCTGACACCAGCCAATCCCATTAGGTTGAGGACTCTGTACTTCCTGTCTCTTAGTCTGGAACATTCTGAGCTCAGAGCCCTATAACCCTCAGCCTTCCCTTCTATCTCCCTGTAATTTTTCTAAGAAGCAACCAGCAAACACCTTCTTCCTCATGATTCTAAGGCATCCAGGCTGCCTTTCTCAAATGAGCTTCTTCCCAAAAGGACAATGCCGAGGTACAGGAGGGCAGAGGT